GACCAATCAGAACACAGCTTACCAAATCGCGAAAGTTGACATTTGCACATACCTTTTGAACTTTTACCTCGAAAAAGTTTTGTACCCGAACGATTCTGAATGCCATTTTCCGTACGATCGCTTCCGAGTGATGCACATGGAGCACACCACTAACGTGAGTAAACAGTCACTGAAAATAGCGTTTTGTCAGTATTCAAGGATGTCAGCTTGCGGAAATATTAGCTAATGATAACCATGTCAACAGAAACCCCAAAGCGTATATTCTGCAAGTCATATATCTGTGTTTTGTGAGATCAGTGTTGGCGACCGGGGAAGAGTAAATCCATTTTGTAAGTCCCGCTGAACCCTAAATAGTAGCCGTTGTCTGATTGGTTAAATCCATTCTGTTGTCTCGCGTTTGATTGGATGGTCATAGGTCGCTCAAAGGTTACCTGGCGCGACCTTCCATAAGGTTTTGTTAGACTCAGTATAGCAGTGTAACGAATAATACTGAGCCTAAGTTTACTTAGACTGGGCTCATCGGCAGAAACCCCGGATGTAGAGAGTGGCAACAGTTTCGCTGATATGATGCCATCAACACTATTTTTGTAGGAAACACTTGATATTTTTGTGTGAAATAGATGAGTATATCCTTTATCTATCAAGGTTAGTAAAATAAAAACTTTAAATGATATTAAAGATTAAAATTACATCAAAAACTCCTGACACTGGGATATGAAATTAAATTAATGTGTCTCACAATGCTTGAATATTGCTATGCTTGGAAACACTGAAAAACAATTCTAAAGATGAAAAATTCTGACATTTTGCAGAAGAAATATATAACTAGCAGAATGTTTATTTTTATACTTTTTATCAGCCCAAAATTATTTAACAGCATAAACACCAACAATTATTGAGGTCTCTCTTGATGGCAGTTGCAAAGTCCAGATAAAATCCCAACTGGAAATAGTTTTAAATACTAAGTATTTAAATAGTTTAACTATCTAAACAATACAGAAAAGCGATTTGAATCTTAATTAGGAGATAGAGCTATTCTGTGTGTGGTCTTTTGAGACAGGTAAATGTCATTTAAAGTTGAACTATTCATCCGTAAAAGTGAAAGTAAAAATTCAGAAGAGTCATTAGGTCTATGTTGTCTGCTGCAATTTTCAATTGTCTGAAATGTAACATTTTCTCAGAAACATCTACCATCAACATGATAAACATTTATATCTGTATGATTCACCTGCCACTGATACTTACTTCCTTGTATTTTCCAGTAGCTTATTGAACAGGAAATGTTAAAACAAATTTCCGTGTTTCATGATTGGATATTTCGCAATAGAATACGAATCATATTAAGGCCACACTAATTTTATGTTACTGTGCCAGACCATTGCTTCAATATGAGATAGGAATGGGGTGTGACTTAAAGACTGAAATTGACTAAGAAATGAATAACACTAAGTGCATGTTGTGAGTGACAGATTTATCAGGATATGAAGTACAGTTGCAAGACAAAGAAAGCAAATCAGTGCCTTCACGTCCTTGCAACTGTTCATTTTCCCCCTGAGAAAGTATGAATTGCCTATAGTCTAGGGCCACAGTTAAATTACCACCAATAGTATGGCAACTTATATTGGGACAAGCTGTAGCAAGCATCATTTTACACTTGCGTCTCATGACCCACAAAGACACAGCCTAGGTGTATCTGTTGATCAGGAGATACAGGAAGCTCCAGATACAGTATCAGGAAGTAATTACACATGACCATGACCATGACGAATACCCATTGGATCAGGGCTTACAGCTGTGGTCTAATGATGGTATTACCATCAGTACACGTAACAGAAAGAACCAGCATGACAATGTGATCTCACTGATCATGACATAAACAATTCAACAGTCATTTACATTAATTTTTGGGTTTCTTGCCAAGATGTCTCTAGTTCATAGTTGCAACAAAGCTAGTATTACTTCTTTGATGGGCATTTTAGAAGTTGAGTTGATGAAGAATGATGACATATCACTTGCATGACAACGACATTAGAATTTATGTCGAAACGTCACCCTTCACAGAATAAAAGAAGTGTATATAAAACAAAATTGTCATCATTCTTCAAAGCTAGTATTAAGTTGGGGATTTTTCTAAACAATGAACCTGGAGAATGTCTCTGTCCAATGCCAAATGGGAATTAATGAGTGCTGTGCATGAAACACATGTAAAGTAAACTACTGTTATAAAAGCCTGTAAGGGACCACATATTTTAGTTTGTTATAACTAGCATGTTACATGCATTGCGACTGAAACATACAGCAAGAGTCCGGGACCAGAATTAGTTTGTGATATCTGTCAGTTTGGTGTAGCCATGTTTGTTATTGACAAAGTTTACTGTATCTTCAACTATGTCCCGATTATACTCTGTCTGTGTTTCCGACTGTAGTAATGGCTTAACTAAGTCAGTGCTACATGTTTGGTTTTCTGTTTTATCATATGTTTATTTGACCAGTAAATAGTCGTTACACATATATGGGGGACCAGTAAATAGTTGTTACACATATATGGGGGACCAGTAAATAGTTGTTACACATATATGGGGGACCAGTAAATAGTCGTTAGACATATATGGGGGACCAGTAAATAGTTGTTACACATATATGGGGGACCAGTAAATAGTTGTTACACATATATGGGGGACCAGTAAATAGTTGTTACACATATATGGGGGACCAGTAAATAGTTGTTACACATATATGGGGGACCAGTAAATAGTTGTTACACATATATGGGGGACCAGTAAATAGTTGTTACACATATTTGGGGAAAGTTATGTGTCAACATGTAACTGCTATTTCAACATAACATTCGAGTTACATTGCAAAACTAACATCACTTCTAAAAAAACCCATATGTTTAAAAATATTATCTAAAAGAATTATGTAACCAAAATCTTCCTGTCAATCCATGTATTTCATATACATTTCCTCCATGTTATCTGAAACACATGTGAAGAGCAAATGGTCGGTGGTTCCTTCCCAGGCAGCATCATATCAAAGATGTTAAGAGATGGTACTTCTTGTCACCCTGTCTGGCACATGGCATTCAGGATCCGGTTGTATCATTGCTTCATTAACTAATGTCAACATTAAACCCTAATGACACATTAAATCCTTAATGCATCATTAGTTAATGGCAACGTTAAAAACGATTGTATCAAACACTTATTAGGGTATCATTATCTAATGACGTCCTAATGAAAATATTATCATTAAATTCGTGGATTCACCTAAATATTTCCCACAATTCCCCGACGTAGACACGTAAGCGTTACTCTCCATCGTCTGTCAAAATGGAATCTTTACGGCTAAACCTTGGCACAAAAACAAACATTTCAACAGCTGTGAAGAAACACATCTCAGTAATACTGAATAGTAAGCAGTGCAGCATGGGCGTAACCCACAAAAGATTAATCAAAGGATAGAAGTTCAAAAATAATATTGGGATGTTTTGGAAAATGAACAAACGCCAAAGTGAGCTTTCCGCCATATTGTATAGTGTTTACAAAGTCAAGTTTCGCTAAGGCCAGTCATAGGAGGCCTATTACATTATGTATATTTCATATTCAGCTGCGACAAATGCATTGCTGAGTTCCTCATACATTTTAGAATCAAATTCCAAATGGTCTTTGTCACTAATGCCAAGTGTCTAGAAGTAAACGAAACATTGGGTGTGAAAACAAACATTGTGCTCATAACAAAGCACTTGCTAGAAATGTAAACAAAGCAAAAATAAGTTTTTATACTGTGCAGCATTTTCTCAATTTTTTAGACATCATTTTGTCCATTGGTAGCATGCATGGGTTCAATAATTTTAGAATATGCATGGAAAGAGTATTGTAGCACGAAGTGGAAAATCAAAAAGAGATACAATACAGTAATTTGATATATTCATGTGAAAGTTGTCGTATGTGCAGCGTGACGCCATGCCAGACGCAAAATCATGGAGAACAACATAGGCAGCTATCGGCACTTCTGGCTTTTTCAATGAAAACAATAAAAACAAATAACCATACGCAGATAGTCAGAATGTTTCTGATTACTTACATCATACATTTATTGACAAACCTTCCCTCACAAAATTGTGGGCACCCATATCCACGAAGCCGCCATTTTATGAGAAATCTGTCATTGATGCTGATGTCATATGTCAACATTGTTGTACATATTTGGTAATTTCTATGAGGTGAAAGTCTGTTGAATAAGAGTAAACACAATCACCCTATTCTGCGGATTACACTTTCAGTATTAATGTATAATTTGCATATCGTTCAGATATGCAATTTCTTTATCAACATTTAGTATTTTAAACCTAAGTAAAACTGACAGTATTGATAAAAAATGATTTATTTAATTCATGAAATATTTTTGCACACATTTTTAAAGGAATTGTCTTGTTCATTGAATTTCTTTATGATGTTTTATAGACAAAACAATGGCGTATAATCATTGTCACAAATGTTTTGACTATCACTTTCACCTCACCTCACCTCAGAAACAAGTGTTTTCTTGTCATGGCCTGATAGAATGTCAACATGAAGAAAGATTGTATGTAACTCACCCTGTACTCTCATTACAGTCTGTTTAAGGATTCCAGTTGTAAAAACTGAACAAAATCTAAAGTTCTACCAAACTGATTACATTTGTTGGCATACTACAATAGTGAGTATAATACATTTGAGGGCATTGAAATATGTTCCAGATCTAACATGCTACCACAAATCTACCATGGATCTGAGTTACGTGTTGTTTAGCTGAATGCATTGTTATATTGATTCATTAGGATCCCTTCTGTTACAGGCATTGAAAAATACGGTTCATGCCCAACTCTGTTTTAGAGTTTTTAAGTGGACTAAAGGGACAGTATTATCAACAGGATTGGTTTCATTTCCTTAGTGTAAACAGCTATATGACTCATGGTTGGGCCACGGTTTAGTGTGGATGTCAATGCATGCTGATGTAAAGATTAAATCAGTATGACTTATGTGTGTGACAGACTGTCTCTGTGTTGTGGTGGGGATTCCTATCAGCAGTTCACAGAAGATGCATTCTTAAATGCTGAAGAACAGTGTGCGGTATGTAGTCCCACTTAGTTTATGGAGATTATAGCCTGTGTGCAAAACTGCTCAGACTACCTACAGAACGTGTTCCTAGGGTAACACTGATGACTACCTACAGAAGGTGTACCTGGGGTTACACTGACTACCTACAGAGTGTGTACCGGGGGTAACACTGATGACAACCTACAGAGTGTGTACCTGGGGTAGCACTGATGACAACCTACAGAGTGTGTTCTTGGGGGTAACACTGATGACTACCTAGAGAGGGTGTTCTTGGGTTGACACTGATGACTACCTACAGAGTGTGTACCTGGGGTAACACTGATGACTACCTACAGAATGTGTTCTTGGGGTAACACTGGTGACTACCTACAGAGTAGGTTCTTAGGATAACACTGACTACCTACAGTGTGTTCTTGGGGTAACACTGATGACAACCTATAAAGTGTACCTGGGATAACAGTGATGACAACCTACAGAGTGTGTACCTGGGGTAACACTGATGACAACCTACAGAGTGTGTACCTGGGGTAACACTGATGACAACCTACAGAGTGTGTTCTTGGGGTAATTCTGACTACCTACAGAGTGTGTACCTGGGGTAACACTGATGACAACCTACAGAGTGTGTACCTGGGGTAACACTGATAACTACCTACAGAAGGTGTACCTGGGGTAACACTGATGACTACCTACAGAGTGTGTACCTGGGGTAACACTGATGACAACCTACAGAGTGTGTTCTTGGGGTAATTCTGACTACCTACAGAGTGTGTACCTGGGGTAACACTGATGACAACCTACAGAGTGTGTACCTGGGGTAACACTGATAACTACCTACAGAGTGTGTACCTGGGGTAACACTGATGACTACCTACAGAGTGTGTACCTGGGGTAACACTGATGACAACCTACAGAGGGTGTACCTGGGGTAATTCTGGTGTACCTGGGGTAACACTGATGACTACCTACAGAGTGTGTACCTGGGGTAACACTGATGACTACCTACAGAGGGTGTACCTGGGGTAACACTGATGACTACCTACAGAGTGTGTACCTGGGGTAATTCTGACAACCTACAGAGGGTGTACCTGGGGTAACACTGATGACTACCTACAGATTGTGTACCTGGGGTAACACTGATGACAACCTACAGAGTGTGTACCTGGGGTAACACTGATGACAACCTACAGAGTGTGTACCTGGGGTAACACTGATGACTACCTACAGAGTGTGTACCTGGGGTAACACTGATGACAACCTACTGAGTGTGTTCTTGGGGTAACACTGATGACTACCTAGAGAGGGTGTTCTTGGGTTGACACTGATGACTACCTACAGAGAATGTGTACCTGGGGTAACACTGATGACAGTGTGTACCTAACACTGAGAGTGTGTACCTGGGGTAACACTGATGACAACCTACAGAGTGTGTACCTGGGGTAACACTGATGACTACCTACAGAGTGTGTACCTGGGGTAACACTGACGACTACCTACAGAGTGTGTACCTGGGGTAACACTGACTACCTACAGAGTGTGTACCTGGGGTAACACTGATGACTACCTACAGAGTGTGTACCTGGGGTAGCACTGATGACAACCTACAGAGTGTGTTCTTGGGGTAACACTGATGACTACCTAGAGAGGGTGTTCTTGGGTTGACACTGATGACTACCTACAGAGTGTGTACCTGGGGTAACACTGATGACTACCTACAGAATGTGACAACCTTTTGGTGTAACCTGGGGTATCTACACTCTTAGGGTAACACTGACTACCTACAGAGTGTGTTCTTGGGGTAACACTGATGACAACCTACAAAGTGTACCCCGGGTAACACTGATGACAACCTATAAAGTGTACCTGGGGTAACACTGATGACAACCTACAGAGTGTGTTCTTGGGGTAATTCTGACTACCTACAGAGTGTGTACCTGGGGTAACACTGATGACTACCTACAGAGTGTGTTCTTGGGGTAATTCTGACTACCTACAGAGTGTGTACCTGGGGTAACACTGATGACAACCTACAGAGTGTGTTCTTGGGGTAACACTGATGACTACCTACAGAGTGTGTACCTGGGGTAACACTGATGACAACCTACAGAGTGTGTTCTTGGGGTAATTCTGACTACCTACAGAGTGTGTTCTTGGGGTAACACTGTGTACCTGGGGTAACACTGATGACAACCTACAGAGTGTGTTCTTGGGGTAATTCTGACTACCTACAGAGGGTGTACCTGGGGTAACACTGATGACTACCTACAGAGTGTGTACCTGGGGTAACACTGATGACTACCTACAGAGTGTGTACCTGGGGTAACACTGATAACTACGTACAGAGTTAATACATTAATTAATTACATTAATATGTAGTCAACAACATTGCATAGATATGGGTTAACAACATTACAGAAAATAAATATGTGGTCAGCAACATTGTATAATATGTGGTCAACAACATTACATTAATATGTGGTCAACAACATTGTATAAATATGTAGTCAACAACATTGTATATATATATGGTCAACAACATTGTATAAATATGTGGTCAACAACATTGTATAAATATGTGGTCAACAACATATAAATATGTAGTCAACAACGTTGTATAAATATGTGGTCAACAACATTGTATAAATATGTAGTCAACAACATTGTATAAATATGTAGTCAAAAAGATTGTATAAATATGTGGTCAACAACATTGTTTAAATATGTAGTCAACAACATTGTATAAATATGTGGTCAACAACATTGTATAAATATGTAGTCAACATTGTATAGATATGTGGTCAACAACATTGTATAAATATGTGGTCAACAACATTACTTAAAGATGTCAACATAATTACTTAAATATGTGTCGAACAACGTATAAATGTCACAACTATATGTAAATGCAGAAAAAATGATAAAAAAACATTGTATAAATATAGGGTAACAATGCTTAAGTATTCCATGTGTAATAGATGTGTTTCAGCTATGTATGATGTTGAGTGACATGCATGTGCGCTCATGTAAGAAATGAATGTGTTGCATTTGGAGTGATATGGGTGTTCCTGTGCAGGTTGTGCAGCACTTCCTGGATGAGGTGAACAGACAAAGGGTCTTCAAACAGCTGGGGCAGGTCACATGGAATGATGGAGTCAAGTTTCTTATGGCCAGAAAGTTTGACCTGAAAAGGGCCATCGATTTGTTCATCTCTCATGAGGTTAGTACAACAGGATGGGCAGTTTCACCAAGCTGGGAGGAGGGGGTTGGGGTACTTCCCTGTCGCCTGGTTTCAGTCAGGTTCTGACCAAGTGTTACACTTGTACTTCCTTGTTTACTTTCAGGAGAATCAGGGAAGCTTCCTTAGTCTAGATTACCATAATAGGAGGGTTAATTCTTCATTGTTGAATGCCATAGCATCACGTAATCAGACGATATAAAATATTTGTCATTCCGGACTGTTCCTGTAGAAGCATGGGTAGGAAAATACATTGTTTCCCCTGGATTAGTTCATGGTAGGACCAGTAAGTATGTTCATAACTTAATTGACGTTTTTATGTCATTGTGGTTAGAAAGTAACTTATGTTTTGCATTTGGCAGGGTGTAAGAGAAAGAGAAGACCTGCTGAATATTGACCCCAGTGATAAGTACTTGCAGAGAGAAATAGCCACTGAAAAGTTTACAATCTTGGTGAGTGTACACAATTACTCTGTACTATGATTGGTGTTTTCATGTGCTGTAGGCTGTGTAGAGTGGTTATGTGCCCTCTTCATTATTAGTCATAGGCTTTGTCTCTGGTGCCATGTGATGTCATTTTATGTTCACTTAAAGGCACTATGTTACACCACACTTCTCTAAATATAAATAATGCATTTCTCTCAATAATATTAACTATCATCCCTCGGAGAAGCTACCATATATTTTAGATTTCAATATCAAATTAAAAATGTCCGGAATGAATTAATGCAACATTGCATTAATTCGACTCTCACACCCTCTACCTCTACATTATTTCAAACGAAGCCCATAGAGTTATATCCATTGGAGCTGTCTTTATGAATATCCTATGCACTACTTGTGATTGAAACCAGTTCGCACACCTGGTTAATACCATTTCATACAGGTGTTTATTTTTAGCATTTTATTAATGTGCTCATGGCATGCAACAATAGCGGAAGACACATTTACCTAACTTCCTGCTCAATTGTGAAATCCCAACAATTTAGTGACCCAGGTCTAGTCAATTGCTTTGTGAAACTTGTTCCTTGTACAAGACATCTTCTGTTTTATTGCAGTTTTCTATGTGATGATTTACCTATTGTTAGTTTGAATCATAGTGTGAGATGAGTGGTTTGGCAGCAAATAGTCCCTGAGTTTCACAGAAGTGGTAAATATCTCTGGCCTACATAACTTTGGAGATTTCTGCCCGTATTTAGTCAGTGGCATTTTATATTCTATGAGTATTGTGGGTATCTTCTTTTCCATGTTAACTTGTGTGATAGGGCATGTTATCCTGTGTGCCACATTATCCTGTGCTTCAATTATCACAAGTGTCTCATTATCCTCAGTGTCAGTTCGTCCTGTGTGTCATATTATCCCATGTGTTTCATTGTAATATTTGTCGCGTTATCTTGTGCATCACTTATATGCTTTGTGTTGCATTATGTTTGTCACACTATCTTGTGTGTCACAATATCCTGTGTGTCACATTATCCTGTGTGTCACACTATCTTGTGTGTCACATCTTGTCACACTATCTTGTGTCACATTATCTTGTGTGTCACATTATCTTGTGTGTCACAATATCCTGTGTGTCACACTATCTTGTGTGTCACATTATCCTGTGTGTCACACTATCTTGTGTGTCACGTCATCTTGTGTGTCACATCTTGTCACACTATCTTGTGTCACATTATCTTGTGTGTCACATTATCCTGTGTGTCACAATATCTGTGTGTCACAATATCCTGTGTGTCACACTATCTTGTGTGTCACATTATCCTGTGTGTCACACTATCTTGTGTGTCACATCTTGTCACACTATCTTGTGTGTCACAATATCCTGTGTCACACTATCTTGTGTGTCACATTATCCTGTGTGTCACACTATCTTGTGTGTCACATTATCCTGTGTGTCACACTATCTTGTGTGTCACATTATCCTGTGCCTTTCATTATCCTGTGTTTTATATTATCTTGAATGTGGCATTATCCTGTGTATCCCGTAATCCTGTGTGACATGTCATTGTGTGTGTACAGAATGGTCGAGACAACAGTGGAGCCGCCCTCGCATTGTTCACAGCTCGGAACCATCAACCCCCCAAGACAACCCACCAGATTGTCCTGAAAGGTCTCATCTACCAGCTGGATGCTGCTCTACACAGGTAGGTCCCTGCTGTAAATACCAATATACAGGTATCAAGATTCTCAGCAGCTCTACTCAAACAAACAAGGATATTAGACTTCATTCCTGATTCTGCATCAGTTATGTATGTCATTTAAAATCCTTACTGGAATGGGGCTAGTGTAGCCCTAGACTCACTGTCTTCATACAAGTAAACAGTTTAAATACTGGTATCTAGTCAGAAATGTTGTCAGGTGATGTATTGTCATGGTGTTCTCATGACATGTTTGTTTATGGTGTTCTCATGATGCTATTGCCTGATGTGCTAATGATGTTTCTGTTTGTATCAGCCTGGAGACTCAGCGCCATGGCCTGGTGTTTGTCTATGACATGACAGACTCAAAGTATGCTAACTTTGACTATGAGCTAAGCATCAAGATTCTCAACCTATTGAAGGTAGGAGCACAACAAACAAACAAGGGCTACAGCTGAAACGTTTTATAGACTATTGAACATATTATATGCAGATTTATGGGGGTGTGGTACACATAGTTGGCAGTTAGACTTGGAACTTTCAGGCATCTCTGTATCCAAGCCAACAGTCAAGTTTTCATTTGGAGAGAACTTACTTCAATGGATAAATCTAGCTTTAGAATTAATTGGTCAATGAACTGATAAGATTTGAATTATGAATCAATTAGAAGCTTTGTGTAGTGTCATGGTGGAAATGCATTCAATGTACCTGATTGGTTCTGGAGTTTTGGCCGTCTGCTTTCCAGTAGCTTCTTAAAGTTCTGATGTTGTTCAGTGATTAGTTTGTGATTCAATGAAAAACATGAAAGTGGAAACAAGCCAACTGAAAAGTGCTGCTTTTCTATTTTTTTAAATACATATGTACAAATTCACCATTGTGACTGCATGACTATGTTGACAAAACAAGCTTTACATACACCGATTACATGGTAATGTATATTGAAAGTATACATGTATTTACTTCTGTTTCTCGTCTACCTGTTCTCCAAATAAGCTACAGAATCTGTACAAATGGGATCAGGGTTCTCTGTCTTGCTAGTGCTTAACAATGAGCTGTTGACATCCAGTTGTTTGTCAGTTCAACCCTTCATCACACCAATCAAAATGGTGCTTACTGGATTGGGAAAGTGACAGTTGAACTCCCATACCAACTTGGTCATCTATTAGACAACCTAGAATGTTCAGTTTGCAAATAGAAATGTGAATAGAAAGCCTTGTCAAAATATTGTTTAAAGTATGTCTGGAATTGGAAGTCATCTGTTTGAAACTTGTGGCATAAACGTTGAGAATACTGATTTTCTCATTGGCTAGTGTGAGTCATTCCTTTGGTCACAAAGGTCATTTTTACAATTCCCTGAATGGGATATTTTTAGATCTTTGTCTAGCGGAACTGGAAGTTAGATGTGTTTTTTAGCGTCCTTGTTCTCTGATTAAGTAGACCACTTGCTTTAGTCATTCGAATATTAATGAAATGTATCATTCAATAATTTCTTCACACAATCATTACAATCATTACCAACAATTGCTTCCAAAGGGCAAACAAGTTATTGATATTGACAATGCCTGGTAATATATGAGTCACTCTGTTTTCTTTTCCTGCATGACCAGGGGTGGAAATAACTTTAAAATTGATAGTGTACTCCGGTACAGTGGCACATGTAAAGTCACTCGGACGTCGGGCAATGGGTTATTTCCATCCCTGAGGACCCGTGAAGATCCAAGGTAGAATAGGTCTTCAGCAACCCACACTATGCATGTCGAAGAGGCAACAAAAGGGATCGGGTGGTCAGGCTCACTGACTTGGTTGACACATGTCATCGGTTCCCAATTGCTCATGCTGTTGATCACTGGATTGTCTGGTCCAGACTCGATTATTTACAGACCGCCACCATATAGCTGGAATATTGCTGAGTGCGGCGTAAAACCCAACTCATTCACTCACTTTTCCTGCAGATATAGTTGTGCTCTGTGGCACATATATTTGTGTTGGGACTGATGTAGGAATTCAGTGTTATGACTGTTGATCCTTTGATGTTTTCAGGGTGGTTACCCAGCCAGATTGAAGAAAGTCCTCATTGTCACAGCGCCGCTGTGGTTCAAGGCTCCGTTCAAGATCCTCAGACTGTTTGTCAGAGAGAAGTTACGTGACAGGGTAAGTGTGTGCCACCTTTTGAGAGTTACTGTTAACTGAATCACTTTGTTTGATGTTAAGGGTTGCCAAAGGATTATTGGAATATATTCCTTGGAGTCCATGTCTTATGTCGAGCACATAGTTGTTTTAGATCAAGTTGCATGCCTGTTGTTGTTTAGAAAACATACAATGTGTTAAAACGATCATACTATGCGGGAAAAAGAACATATATACTAGTAATGTGTGACTTGCCTGATTATTATGTAGCCCCCTGTGTTGATTTGTATTGTTAGTATGGTATGGAAACTACTCATCTATAACTCAACCATAGGTTCCAACATGAAGTGTTCTCAAATGTGACTAGATGATGTTGAAGGTCAATGTCATTCAGAAGGGAGTAGATATCCCATAACCTTCTACATACACAGTATCTCCAGCAGTGACAAGGCACTATATGTATTGTCCCTTGGCAGTAAAGCCTGAGTTTGAAGCTCAGAATCATGTATCTGGAAATGCTTACTGTAGGGTAAGGTAGATAAAGGCATGAGACATGGTTTTGTAAATAGTAGTATAGGTGGCATGTATTTTTCTGCAGTGGAAATGTTATTTCACCAGAAGTGCTCATAACTGTCTGCAGTTCGTGAGGTTGATGGAGATGTTGGTTGATCTGTTTCCAATGGGTCGTCAACTATCACCTGATTTTTTAATCAGAATTATTCGTGATACTGTACATGTTTGTATTTGGAAATTGTTTCGACATCGAAAATACTAGCGATATGGTATCACCATGCTGTAGATAGTTCCATGTGTTCCCAGCCACTGATTTGCTGGGTCCATATTGACAGTTGTATGAGTTTGGGTGGTCTTGTTTGACAAATTGATAAATGCCCAAAGCTATATAATTACCCAATGCATGTATTCACTGTGGTGAATATGCATGTATTCACTGTGGTACTATTTTATCATAACCAATAACCTGATTTTATTGTCCTCTTAGAGAGAGCTTAAGTATTCTGTCAAGTTGCACACGATGTAATGATCTCTCTCACTCTGTCAGGGTTTTACATGACGCATGATTCCTGCGTATTTGACGCAACAATTTTGTAAACGTCTCTCAAAAAATTATCATATTAGTCATGCTTAATGCAAGTTTTATGGGTGGCCCTCACAATTCAGTTCAATAAAATCGATTTGATAAGCAAAACATTATATTGTTCGATGATAGTTTGACTTTTACAGAACTGTCAGGTTGTTCCAGAGAACTCAGAGGAGACAGTAATCCTGGCTGTTTGAATTGAACAATGCTGTAGTTTCATTTGGTGGTGTGACATACACAGTTACATACTGAGCGTGATTAACACAAAGAAATATTAAAATTTTAATGACTCCCAAACATTGAAAATGACTCCCAAAAATAAATATTGTGAGTCACCATGACTCCCATTATTAAAAGTCTGTGTAAAACTCTGCTCTGTCTCTCAGTATGGACGGTGACATTGCTGCTATGTTTCAGGTTTACACCGTGAGCTTGTCGCAGCTGTCCCAGTATATACCCCGAGATTCTATCCCTGTACATCTAGGGGGGAGCATCCCCACGAGCCACAAGGCTTGGCTACAATTGTGTTATAAGATCGCCACCAGTGAAACAGTAGACATGGACTCCTACTTCATAAGCCGGAAACGCTCGTACAGCTCCACGGGAGATGGTGAATCTCGGAGCTCTGTCACCCGCAGTCTCTCCAGTGATATGGATCTACACTTCAGTGATATGGACTCAGAGACCTCCAAGGAGACAGTGAATGAGAAACACAACCATGAGGATCGTGAGAAGGAACGAGAAGATGTTCAAGAAGGGAACAAAGATGTGTTGATAGAAAAAGAATCTGATTCTATTCTGATGTCAGGTAAGAAACGCCGGACCTCAGATGGTAGAAGTAACGCTGATTCCAGGAAGAGAATTTCAGACTCAAGCACATTGGATAATTCACCCAATGATCAGCAAGTATCTGATTTGCCGATCAAGCGGCGACCTCCATCCTCAGGGTCCAACATCCTGGATGACTCTATCCATATGCCGGATCAGGGCGGTATGAACCTGAAGCAGCTGGTGGAGCATGTCAAGTCACTGCGGAGGAAGGGATTATTCGCAGAGTATGCCAGAATCAAAATGGAGGCACCCACGGGAACATTCAATGCATCAAAGTGAGTAACGTTTGACTTGTTTTGTTTCAGATGGATCACAGGACGCCCAGTGGTTGTCAAGCTTTCCCATTTTGTTTTTCGTTGTTCTAGGGGCCCGTGGAATCCTTATTTTGTAACATTAGGAATATTATCAATAGTCCTTAAATTTTCAAATTTCGATTTGAACCCTAATGTGTTTCATCTTGATACATATATCATGCGTATGTACTGAACAACAAAGCTAGGGATCAGGGGCTTTTGGAATTATTTTTTTGAGATTATTTGGTCAGTCTTCCCTTTGAAAAAGAATATCCCCCAAATATTCATGATCAGTAACTGGTTTTGTTCAGCTCAGATACAGATCCAGGATTCAAATCTGTCCGAGTTGTCTTAGTGATGTGGAAGTGATATATGCCTGCTACTAGTGTCCCTCAGATTTTATGAAAGTGACAACTGAATTAAAGTTTATAATGTATTGTACTTACCACACACACTCATTCAACATGTTCAGGTTTTGAGTATGGTTTGAATGAAATATCGGACTTTCTTGGCTGACAAAGACCGAGCTGATTCTTTGAAGACAGCATATGACGCTTTCACTAGGTTAACATAAGTGACCCATTGTCAAGATGTAGTGTTAGTGAGAGTATCAGTATGGACCTAACATTTTGTGGGGAATGAGGGGTGGGTCCCAAGTTATTATTATTATTATTGTTGGATATTTATATAGCGCACATATCCACGCACTAGTGCATGATCAAGGCGCTGGTATTTTTCCCTAGATCATTGGATGTCAATCTCAACGGCACATCGCATTATCAATCTCAACTCCCTGGGGAGTATACAACTCTTGCAGCCACTAGGCGCACCGAGTTATTGTGGCTTTCTCATCCTTACGAGGTACCCATTCACAGCTGGGAGGACTGGGACACATAGTCACAGTACTTTGTCCATGTTCACTGCATGTTGCTGTACCCGCAACTAGGTGTTTGCACGTATTCATGTGGCCACCATCTGGTCATTTACCAACGGATTCGTGGGTTCTTTTAAGTGCACAGGGTTGTGTACTGTACAACTGTTCTGGTTGTTAGAGGGGACTAAATAGGTTATGTGGTCATGTCCAATGACTTGGTTGATCACGTGTCATTATACCCCGATGGCACGGATACTTGCTTGTAGTATCAATCACTTGATTGTCTGGTCTTTATGTCATTGTTTACAGACTGCTGGGTGCAAACACATACTTGATGGTTTTAAATATCAAGGTGTTCATGTTTGTTGCTTAACTCTTTGTTATATACTGGTCATTCCGAGAGTACAACAGTGACAACTCTTGTTCCAGAGCTCGCATCAATCTGCCAAAGAATCGTTACACAGATGTGCTGTGTTTTCGACCATAGCCGTGTTGTCCTGCCTGTTATGGATACGGACCCCTCCTCTGATTACATCAACGCCAACTTCGTTGACGGTTACATGCAGAAGAACTCTTACATCAGTACACAGGGTGAGTTTACCATGGCAGGAAACACTTGGCTCACAACAATGCAGTTTTCTTAAGATAACGGAAATATTTTGATCACTTATATTTGCTATTTGTCACAGCTTAAAGTTATTGTTACATGCGTGTGACACACACTTTACACATATCATGAACATGCATGCATGCGCACATGCACATGCACACACACACTCATACGCACACAGAATTTGAATTTCTTTTTATCAGTATATTTAAACATAGCAAGTACTTGATTGTCTATACCAGTGGTCAGAGTAGTAGAAACAGTCAGTTATGAATAATTGAAATGACAATGAAATAGATATTTATTCTGTTTGCTTTTTCAGGTCCTTTACCCAAAACCTTTGTGGACTTTTGGTCCATGGTGTGGAATTACCAGTGTCAGGTGATCGTCATGACAACAAGGTGAGAGACACTTGTCATTTGCCTTTGGTTTCACATGTTCACAGTAACTGTTTGCTGGAAAGAAGGCTTCTGTTTCTGTCAGCCTGCAGAACTCTGTCATTGTAATATACTCGACTGATACCATGGTAACATGATGATGGATTTGGAATACTCTACCATCTCAGTGGTTAGAGTGATGCATGCTTTTTCAGTTTAAGATCCTACCCAATTGAACCAAAGCCAGAATCAGAAAAACTTGAGATATATTTTATTGACCAAACTTTTCATTCTTGGATGGATTTAAAAAGAAACAAATTATGCAACTACAAAAATCATTAGCATTATAAAAAGTTTATGACCACTGCAAAACATTTGAAAAGAGAAAAGGTTCTTCTCTGATATATAGGGGATTCATCATATTTTTATCACCCCGGCATGTAATGAGGGGGGGGGATATAGTCGTCGCCTTGTCCGTCTGTCCGTCCGTAATCATTTTGTTTCTGGAGCATAACTCCAAGACCATTCAATATTTTTCAACAAAAATTGGTAGATATATCAAACAGAACCTAAGGTTGTGCCTTTTGCTATTTACAGATTTTTGTCATTTTTATTTTTCTCGGTTTCCATGGAAACGTTTTGTACTTAGTCTTAGAGGGAGGGGTGGGCTTTTTTCTGGAGCATAACTCAGAAACCGTTCAGTATTTTTCTGCAAAACTTGCTATTGACAGATATTTGTGATATATTATTTTCTTGGTTTCCATGGAAACGATTCGGACTTAGTCTAAAAAAGGAGGGGTGGGTTTCGTTTCCGGAGCACAACTTGAAAACTGTTCAATATCTTTCTATAGAACTTGGCAGATATGTTAGGCAGATCCCAAAGTGGTGCCTTTTGCTCTTTACAGATTTTTGGCATTTGTATTTTTCTTGGTTTCCATGGAAACGATTTTGACTTAGTCTCAAAAGGGAGGGGTAGGTTTTAATTTCCGGAGCACAACTCGAAAACTTCTTAATATCTTTCAGCAAAACTTGGCAGATATGTTAGGCAGATCCCAAAGGGATGCCTTTTACTCTTTACATCTTTTTGGCATTTTATTTTTCTCGGTTTCCATGGAAACGATTCATGTATAGTCTCAGAAGGGAGGGGTAGGTTTCGTTTCCGGAGCACAGCTCAAAAACTTCTTAACATCTTTTTAGTAAAACTTGGCAGATATGTTAGGCAGATCTTGAAGTGGTGCCTTTGGCTATTTGCAGATTTTTGTCATTTATGTTTTTCATGATTTTCATGGAAACGATTTGCACTTAGTCTAAAATCAAGCTGGACTATAAGTAACTGTCAGATGATTTGTTCTTTCAAAGATGTGGGGGCCGGGGGGATATGTCATCTTCTGATGACTCTTGTTTGCTGTTTCCATGGAAACATGGCTTAGGCTGTGACTATGAGGATGTCATCTTGTTGCATTTTCCATGGCAACAAGTTAGGCTTCAACTGAATTTTGTGATAATGCTCCTTTCTGGAGCAGATCTTAAAACCTTCCAATACTCTCCTTCCACTTTGCTGTATACACTCCAAAACATTGACATAATCATAATTAGTAGACATATTCATAAAGAGTAGTTTGCCGTTGAGGGGGATATTGATGACTGTCTTCTTGTTAAAATGGGAAATATCAACTAGATAAACATTTTAAAACATCCTTTTCCAGAATCAGAATTAGCTTTCCTTTTTCCCAAACAACTTTATGTTAAATATGATTAGAACTATGGAGCTACAATTACTGATTGTTTTTTAATGTTTAGTATTTACATATTTATTCTGTCCCAAATCATGAGACCTCCTCCATAGCCTACTTGTCACCATGTAAGCACAATAACCCTGACAAATGCACAGTTTCTGTGATGTCAACAGAATCTCCAATTCTCATGAATTTGCTGCATTGATCAAATCAAGAACCATGACCAGGTTATGATGTTGTTTCACAATAAGCAGATTTGAATATACAATGTATATAGAATGTATTGGATGAGTTCCTTGTATGATCCAAACCAGTGAAGATGTGGGTTAGGATTGATCTTCAGTAACCAATGCTTGTTGTAAGAGGCGATTTAAATAACGGGATCGGGTGGTCAGACTCACTGACTTGGTTGACATGTCATTGTATCCCAATTGCGTAGATCGATGCTGATGCTGTTGATCATTGGATTGTCTGGTCCAGACTTGATTATTTACAGACTTCCGCCATATAGCTGGAATATTGCTGAATGCGGCATAAAACTAAACCCACTCACTCACCTGTATGTTCCATGTTTGAGTGGTCAATGAGGCCTGCTGTTCTGGTGTTGAGTTAATGATTGAAACTGTTGTTTCAGGACTATCGAGCGTCAAAGGATGAAATGTGGCCAGTACTGGCCCAATGAGGAGCAGACGGACGAACAGTTTGAGGAGTTTATTGTCTACAACAATGGTATCAATACACTCAAAGACTACACTGAAACTAAGCTTCTCTTGCATAACACTAAGGTATGTTCTATTCTTCTTTCTAGGTATAAAATCTAACTGTCTCATGGGCCTATTTCTGTGTTGTATTATGCTTCCTGATTGGTTGGCTTCCAAGGCTGACTTCCTGCAGACATTTTGTCATGTCATGCTGCTTGCCCAGTCGTAGATGCAACACATCATGAGGGTTTAAGGTCAAAAGTTCAATTTAATTTCCATACAAATATTTTTCACTGCAAAGAAAGCTTTAACTTGCTCAATACACCATTGTAGGTGTGTATCATGTGCTAGTTGCTTGACGCCTTGGGCAATGTATTTAACATCTCAGCACAGCTAATAAAAGCCTGTGGGGCAAGAGTTGCCTAGTTGCCTTAGTTGCGATAGTTGCTGTACGGAGTTACATCTCTTTGACATTCCAGAAGCCTATGATTTGTGTTCAAACCCTTATGAGTACAATACCAGTGCATGTGGGTTTTGTCAATGTTGTAAGTGTCTGCGACCTACATAGCTCTAGGTCATCCTCCCTTATTAAGCTGGCTTGTTGGGATGTAACAGGAAAGCAGTTAAGAGCGGATTTAACCCAACTCATTCAATTACTCATGCATAAAATCATTCAGATTCCAGTCTACTTGGATAAAGATTCTTCTGCCCACTTCTTTGCTCACAGGCAACAAGAGACAGGAAATAATTTAGTTTTGTATTTTCAGACTGGAGAGTCAAGGGAGATAACTCATCTACAATTCACAAGCTGGCCTGACTATGGTGTTCCCCCAGCAACAACTTTCTTAGACTTTCTCTTCCATGCAAGACAATGTCAGGAGGAAGCTACAAAATTCATGGGTGGCGGGTGGCAGGGACACCCTCGAGGCCCACCCATGGTTGTTCACTGCAGTGCTGGCATTGGCAGAACAGGTTTGTTGTCTACTCTTCTTGTATGATGGATGATTCAGGCAATGTAACATGGAATAATCTCCCGCTACTGATTTCTTTGGTTTTGCTTTGTACATCTGCAGCAATAAACACTTTCCATCATCTTCAATGCAATAACTGTTACACCTCACAGTCAGGAGTTTACAGTTGCTTACAGAAAAATATTTGGTTTGTTTGTCAGTGAAATTATGTGGAATCACTTGCAAATGTATATAATAAAGTTTAACCTTGTGATGTTGCAGGAACATTCATAACCATAGACATCTGTTTGCGGAGGCTGGAGGATATCGGCACCGTGGATGTCCAGGAGTCTGTGCGACGCATCCGAAGCCAGCGCTGCTACAGCATCCAGATGCCTGACCAGTATGTCTTCTGTCACCTCGCCATCATTGAGCACGCTGTCCGCAATGGACTCATAAAAGAAGTGGACTTGGCGCTACTAGATGACAGTGACGAGAGTGATTGAACATCATCTGCATGTGGGATTTACATGACGAAACTTTCAATATTCTATGTCTGGGCCTGTGCTTATCTGTTCTAGCAGTGCGATTCAATGCATCTCTGGTGCTGTGTGCCAGCAGACTCTGGCCTGCGTCAAGTTCTTCTCCCTCACTGGAGGAGTGTGTTGTAGCAGCTGGTCAACACTGCTCTTCCACCTTCTCTCTGTTGGACTCTCCCAACAGAAAAAGACACGTGTTCCAGTCCCTGTGAATCAATTTGAAATAAGCTTCCAATTGTTTTGTGCTTTTGCCATTTTGGAAGGCTTTGTGTAAATAACAATTAGGTTTTTGAATGGACAGCTTTGATATTGTTTCCTGCGGATGGGCTTTGTATTGAAGAGAATATGAAAATACACACCAATGACAATCTTTATGCATTTGTCCTGTTTGTAGGGCAGTTGCTAACTCAAATTATGCTGGGATTTACCCTGTAGACTAAACCTATGTGCAAGACCACTTGCGCCAGGGCATACTCAGCACAAACTTTTACAAACAGCCAGCTGAACCTTATTTTGGATATGACGTGTGCACCAACAGCTTGACTGCAAGGGTAGACTCTTTAACTTGTGTCACAATTCACTCTTGTTTCTTTGGTTGGACCTACTGTTGTTGCAGCTGGAAGTTGTCAGTCTAGTAACTCATTCTTTTACTGTTGTAATCATCTACAGAGCACTAAGGAAATTGTGGAGTGTGATGTACAGGTCAGTGACTGTCAAATCATCTGGTGTGAAGTGGTTCAACTTATCAAGTGCGGACTTGGTATCACCTATCATTAAGTGGTTCAGCATGCATGTAGACATTGCATGAACTGGCATGAAGTGGTTCACTACCTGTGGACATAAAACAGCTGTTGTAAAGTGGTACAGTTTAGGTGTGGACACTGCATCAGTTGTCTTTAATTGGTTGAGCTTATTAAGCATGGACCAGTGCATCAGCTCATGAGGGGTTTGGATGAAATAATAATCAGAAGTGATTCGTCTCATGAAATGTTTATGGAAAGCTGATTACTTGGAGAGTGAGCTGATGGACGGCTGTTGAAACTGACCAATAATGTTGGATCATTGTTTAGTTTGACTGATAATCTGTCTGAGGACATCAACTTCTTTTGCTGTTTTCAAAGTTCATTTTGATGGGCAACCTCTTTACTATGTTTGTATCCTAAAAATATACTCTCCTTTTTATATTTTTTTTATAGTACTCTCATTTTATTTATTTTATATATGTGTACCTGTATCTGCTAGTTTAGTTTGTCATTTGGTTTAAAGGACGTGTGTACTTATGTGTTCTTAGGCTATAGTCTGATCAGTGTGTTTCACTGACAATTTACATTTTCAAACCTCACCCAACATGTATTAGTAATAAGGTCCTTAACTTATTGTATGTAAGTATACAGCAGTTTCAGTGTGTTGGTGTATGTGAGTTGTCGGCCAAAATGTTCGATTACTTCAGTAACACCTCACTCTTCATCAAGTATGAATTTCATATTTTTTACATGGATCCATGAAAATAAATAGCATGTTTGTGTGAGTTAGCGTGGTGACACAATTTCATGTTCCCAGGTCACAGTGTATTTTGCCTTCACTATGTGTCAGCTTGTATCTTTAAAACCTGTGAACCCAAAGTTACATTGTCTGCACATCATGTTTTGTTGATGTGATATTGTGGCTGTAATGCTTATTGTCCTGTACCACCAGACACTGCTAGTGGAACAACTGACTATGTATGAGAATGTCTTGACACATCTACTGCTGTCACATGCTGTTTCCCTATTGACATGTTATGTTTACTCATAACTCATTTATTCATATATTTTATATTCAATGTAAAGAGCTGATATTTCTGAATTCACTGTTTCCATTTTTGTGCTGTAAAGATAATACTGTCTGTTTTATTAATCACATTCTGTAAACACTGCAGTGAGAGGCTGATATAACTCGGTCACCTTATATTTTTATGATGTAAGAAAATGCTATCTAGTTTATTCATCACATAGTCACAACATATCTTACTGTACCGTGTAGACCAATAACACAATGACACCAGCAGGATGTAATTCCACACACAAATGACAGTAAATCAAAGGGAAGGGAGAAATTGAATATTTGTTACTTTAATAGTTAAATGCGTCTTGTTTCCATTATTATTGAACATGGGTTGGGCATTCAGAAGAGACTATTGGGTTACCTTGATAAAAAAAGAAAGCCAAACCTTTTCCCACAAGGTTAACAAAACTATTTTAAAATTGGTAGCCATTAGGATGGAAAATACAGGACAAATATAACGGACTGGTCATATATTTTTGTTGGGTTGGGTGGGGATTGAGGACTGTATCCTACTGGCAAACAAGGATAAGTTGGACTAGCGCAGAGAACGCGTTTACGAGAAGTAGGTGGTGCACGGCAATGAGCAAACCCATTTGGTTTGTGAAAGGTAGAGCAGATGTAGGCTAGTTCACGTGCATTGCATGACGATAAAATTGATTCTGTACGTAGCTGCACACGCCTTGCTGATAAGACTCTCACATCGGTGTAGCAAGTTGCACTACACTTGATCACGGACAACCTGGGGCCCCTTTCGCTAACAATGGCAAGCACCAGTGGGCGGCACTCATACATGCTAATACGGTTCAATTGTCAGGTCGGTGCACAACTTATCCTTGTTTGCCAGTCATTTGCTGACCCAACCTCTGTGTTAAGTAACATGTTTTTAACTCCCAAAATACATGCAACATTTACCCCCCAGGATTACCCCCCCACTCCAGTGTTCAAATTAAAGTTACACCCGACCCCAACCACCCTTTTTTGCTGTTTCACTTTTTTGTGCTCACCCCCATCCTACATCTTCCCTGCCTCACCTTCCTCATAATATATTTCTACTTCCCTCAAAATACAGTAACTGGAAATAACAGACTGATGTCCCAAGTATTTGGGCTGCACATGTTAACAATGCACAAGCTTCAACCCTCCCCTGTTGGCCAAACAATCAAGTCATTTCATTCACAGAGGTTTTTTAAAACAATTAGTGAAGAACTTGCCAGTTACATTGTGTTGTCGTGACAACTGAATAAATTTCATTGAGAAAATATTTCATGGTTTTTTTAGCGGAATGGGTCTGATAGACGGACACATACTCTTTTTAGTCACGTTGATTTTCCCCTACAGAATCATGCATAATGAAAGAGATCTTACACACAGGCTTTTGGGGACATTGAAAAATTATGTTTACATTTTGATATTAGCAAATGGTGTTTTATTGTGTGGCATAAATCTGCTATATTGCTATATTATGTAAAGCTGCCATATAAATAGTTTACTTTATGTTAACAGCATTACCTCCCACTTATCAAAGACAATAACTTATCTGTCCTTGGTGACCATTGACAGCAACTTGATTGTCCTCAGTTTCTATTAATAGTAGCTTGTCTGTCCTTGGTGACCATTGACAGTAGCTTGATTGTCCTCATTTATCAGTGGCAGTAGGTTGTCAGTCCTTGGTGATCATTGACATTAGCTTGCTTGTCCTTGGTGACCATTGATAGTAGCTTGTCTGTTCTTCGTGACCATTGATAGAAGCTTGATTCTCCTTGGTGACCATTGAGAGTAGCTTGCTTGTCCTTGGTGACCATTGACAGTAGCTTGATTGTCCTTGGTGACCATTGACAGAAGCTTGTCTGTTCTTGGTGTCCATTGACAGTAGTTTGTCTGTACTTGGTGAACATTGATAGTAGCTTGATTCTCCTTGGTGACCATTGACAGTTGGTTGTCCTTCCTTGGTGACCATTGACAGTTGGTTGTCCTTCCTTGGTGAACATACACAGTAGTTGTATTGTCCACAGTTAGTATTGACAGTAGCCTGATTGTCCTGGGTAACCATTAACAGTAACTTGACTGCCCTTGGTGACCATTGACAATAGCTTGTCTGTCTGTGTTTGTTGAAATATGTATGTGCATGTCAGCATGTGAAGTAAGGAAAGAATATTCAGTGAAGCGTAACTGCAGTCCAGCTGTACATTGATGTAACAAGGATTAGGCTGAGACAATCATCCTTGCAGCAGTACTGCTATGGATTACCATGTACTCCTATGTGTGTAACTAGGCAACATTAACAATATAATACTCCCCTGCTCTGCATTTAACAGTGTATCAACTGGTCATTATGAAACCATTGTTCCCCAGGATCGGGCAACCTAGCAGAAATGGCCAGCGTTCTTTTCATATATTATGGAGAAGGCTGTGATTATTTTTATATCTGAAATTTAGAAGTAGTGAAAACAATATTTTACTCACCAGTTTTTACTGGATTACAATATATTGCAGTATATCTTGTGTAGGAAAAGTATTCTGATTATTCTAAACATTGTATCCCTTCTAAAGGTTGAAGTTTGTGGAGAAAGATATTTTCTTAAATGTCCTTGATGAAAATTGATGTACATGTATTTACTATTTTTCTGTCATTGTTGTTTTCTCGAATATAAAATTTCTGAGCAATTATGGAAAAACTCAACCTATTCCGAAATGACTGGTCCATTTATATTGTAGCGAGGTTCCATGTTGCTGGCGTGCAGTGATCGATGTATGTGATGATATGGTAGTTTCTGTGCGCCCCCCTCCTCATGGCATCGTCCGTGCCCCCCTCCTCACGGCATCGTCCGTGCCCCCCTCCTCATGGCATCGTCTGTGCCCCCCTCCTCATGGCATCGTCCGCAACTTGATGATGTTCCTCACTTCCTTCCTGGATGGCCATGTCTCATTACATAGAGGACACTGTCTGTACTGGCTGAATGTCAGGCCTGACATGTGTACAGTTTCATACTTTCGATAACATGTTTGAGATGGTCTAGGTACTGGAAGCAAGTTGGAAAATCATCCAGTTTCAGTATACATTTGGCAAAAGTGCCATATGATGTTCAGTGAAGTCTAGAGACATTGTTTTGTAGTCATTAAAACATACTCAAATGGCTTTTCATCAGTTTCAAGAGATTGTCAGAGAATGGTTGATTTTTAAGTCTGCAAGTAAAAAACATGATTTATTGCTTCATTGTGGCACAAAATGCAATACTGTCACTGTTGATCCCTTGAGCTTCGCTGTGGAGCATACTATATGCTGTGGTGTTGCTCGATCCCATCAAAATGTGTGTGATGTTTAACTATTTGAGCTCAATGTTGGGATATAAAAATGAAAATGCTACTTGCTTACACTTTTATGTCCTGTGTTGACTTTGTTGTGAAATTGTCTCATGATTTGTTGTGTGTAGTGCATTTGGAGTAAGGGGAAATAACTCTGTGCGGCTTAACAAATGCTGCAGCAGGTATCCTGTACTCCCTATGCCTACAGCACTGTTGTACTGGCTACCATATATGGAGGTGTGATGTGTTGACGTTTTTCTCCTTTCATTGTCTTTTCATAGTAGAACAGCAATCAATGCACCACTGTAATTCATGTGTGTAGTCATATTTATGTGGAAACCAGTATTTTGTTGAAACTGTGAGCTGTTGGCTAGGTGATGTGGAAAAGGAGGCTAGTTTGCGCCCTGTATGAAGGAGGGTTATCATCAACACCTATGTGAGGACTGTTCTTGTACACTACCAGTACATTAAACAAGTTAAGGACCGCTTGAGTTATTTCAGGCATGTCATGACGGATTAACTACGTTAATGTGAAAAGGAGGGTGATGGGGGTAGTCTTGTGGTTCAAGCGTTGCTCGTTACATTGAGGACCCGGTTCGATTCCTCACTTGTCTGAAGCCCATTTCCCGGTGTCCCCACTGTGACATTGCTGGAATATTGCAAAATCGGCACAAAACCATGCTCACTAAGTTTTTAGAACCTTTGTCCTTAACGTCTTTTGACTGGTATATTTAAGATATTCAAACTAAAGGAGTTTGCAAAATGAATATATTGAGTTAAACAATGTAAAATGTTGGGTAGACTTGTTAATAACGCAAAATATAGTGCCCTGCAGTGACTGGTTTGAGACTTTGTATGTCAATGGAAGGAAAACAGCAACTATGTTCCCTGATAGACAAGACTTATGAAGGATCAGTGATGATGGTAGATTCAGATTTTGGACAAGGGATCATCTTGCATGTTTGTGCCAAATCACAACACTTTTAGATAACACTTATCTGTTTTTCTTTTTTGATACAAAAACACAAGAAGTCATAGTTACATGTGAAGTTTGTGGTCAGATTTGGATTCTTGAAGTAGTGGCATAGGAGATTCTGTATAGGAGTTAACACTGCACGAATTGATATGGTTGGTTTATGTGGTTGTTGCGGTCTAAATGGCACTTTGTGTAAACTTTAAGTGTAGTTTCCATTGTACAAGTCATGCATGTAAACTTCAAGAAATCTGATTAGTGAAAATCACCCCATACCAGCACTTCCCTGAGCCAGAATATGAGACTGGCCATATCGTTCATAACATTGTGAACTGAAATCAGTATGGTCTACCATTGTACATTAGATGAAATATGTATCCACTTTTAGTGTTGGGCAGTCACCATGATAATACCAGGCTCTGGTGGGTTGCTAACACCAACTGATTTCCACTTGATGAATTTTTTTTACATTTGATTACCTTTCACTAGCAGAAATTCCTTTAAAAAATTGAATTTATATGTGATTATTTTGTGTACAAAACCGCCAATTGTTTCATTGCTGAACCATGGATATGTGGAGAACTTTGTTCTGTGAGTTTCACATTCAACATTATAAAGGAAATGGAATAGCTAGACTGCTTTTCAGGAATAACTGCGTGTACTTGCCACTTTATCATAGGACAATGTTTTGATTCTGATGCTGATGTCCCTTTAGCTGGTAGCTATAGGTCGAGCACATCTCATGGAATTAACACAGAGACCAGTAGCTGTCTATTGGACCAAATACTTTTATCTGTCCTTGTGATCACATGTAATGTAACTCTCAGGCTTATCAACTGACGTATTTGTTTTTTATTTGGTTTATTTTGCTCTTGACGTATGGAGATTACATCTTCACTATGAAATAAAATGTCACTATACATGTATTGGTGTGTTGGTTCTGTGTTTGGGGACTGTTCACACTCTATCAGAGATTGGTGTTCAGAGATTGGTGTTACTTGTGTTAATCACAGGATTGTCTGGTTTATAAACCGCTGTGATATCCCTGGTAACAACATACGAGCATACAGCACAGTGTGCTATTTGGTCTATTAAGATTTATGCTTCCATCTTGTGTTGAGTATTCATGGTTATCAGATTAATGAACACCCAAATTAAGATTTGCGTGAAACATCTTATTAAACTCAAGTCTCGCCTGAATGCTACACAGGATTCAAGACTGAGTGAGCTTTCAAGCAGCTATTAGATGGCATCACCACAGTACATACCAGGAATGTGAATTCAGTATTGTGCCAATGTGACACTTTAACCAGGCCACCACACAGCCCTGTTCATTAGCCATCTAGCTACCCTAGAACCCTGTTTGTTGATTATCCTGCTACCCCACAGCTCTGTTCCTTACCCACCCGTCTATTAAGGACATTATTCAATCAGTCTTCCAGAACATTAAGTCCTCTCTGCAACATTTACAGATATATGCTGGCGTCTAAACCTACTAGCTATTTACAACAATGCATTTTGAATCATGTTACTACTACAAGTGCCATATACCCACCGCTGCTTTAGAACATACATTTGAAGTTTATACCCAATATTGCTCAGCAGAAGCATCCTCTCAGCACCACTGGGAGGTGAGGTGAGGTGAAATTGGGTTTAACGTCGTGCTGGAGAATATTTCGCTCATATGAAGACGTGCATGCGTGTGTATGTGTATGTGCGGCTGCTTGTACTAGCCCAGACTGAAGCTGGTTTTATAGTGCTAGTCCACTGAGATACCAAGCCGCAGTGAAGCATGAATACCCCACCCAGACACATTATACTGACTCCGAGCCGACCAGTCCTTGTTGTACCCATTAATGCCGAGCGCCAGGCAGGGACCAACAAGTACCATATTTTAACGTCTTTTTGGTATGACGCGGTCGGGGATCGAACCCGCGACGTTCCGCTCTCCGGGCAGGCGCTCTATCCATTACACCACGGAGGCGGTCAGCACCACTGGGACTTGGCCGAGGCACTATTTGTATCCAAAAGACAACTGAATGCGGCTGGCCCTTGGAAGTGATGGGGTCTTTCAGCTTACACCTTAAAAGAATGAGGTGCTAAGTTACTGTGGTGTGATTCCCTCTGCCCATTTCTCAGTCTCGCCAGCACAGTTAAGGGCAATGGAGAACAGTGACCCATGACACTTTCCCGCTTACTTAGTCGCGTGTGATTAATCAATTATGCCTGCATTGCTCACTGACCCTGGTTTCGATAACTAGCTTTGACAGAAACCAGGTTTCTTCCATGCAGATTTCTTGAAACACTGTCGGGAGATATGGATGATGAATTATACACCTTAGCTGCACCAGGATTCGCTTATTTTGAATCCCTGATGCGCCCAATTATGGTCTTTGTATACACTTGTCAGAGAAGTCTCCAACCTTAGTTATAAAACTGAACATCTTTGATGATTGGGGTTAAACCAACTGACTTATTCCCATGTAAGGTGGCTTGATTGATATATACACGTGGAAAAAAGTATCGCAACACCTAATATTTTTTTCTCTCAATATCTTATAATTGCCATATAACAACATTATGTAACTAAATGTAAACTATAACCTATTACAAGTCTCAAACGCAACAAATTATGATGCACCTGCTGCAGGTAACAAGTGTGGACCATATGAATCACTTGCACCCCTCGTGCCATGAAAATAGTTTCATTTATCATTCACTCTTCTTAGAAAACTGAGCTAAAGCGCGTACTTATTGTCTTAAACCACTCTATCTAATGACGGGTTGTCCCTGAGACAAATTGCCAGGCAATTAGGTCACCACCCCTCAACATTCAGTCGATTAGTGAGGATATATCACCAAACAAACG